AAAAAAAAAAAAAAAAGTGGGGTTTATGGGTCAGCCCCGTGGCTCAGTGGCTCACTCCGGAGAGTGCAGCGCTGGTAGTGCCGAGGCCGCGGGTTCGGGTCTTATATAGGGATGGCCAGTGCGCTCACTGGCTGAGCGTGGTGCAGACCACACCGTGCAGAGGGTTGCGATCCCCTTACCGGTAAAAAACAAAAAACAAAAAAAAAAACAACAACTGGGGATTATTTTACTTTTTTCAGTAGCTGTTGCTCTTCACACTGCCTTTAATTAGGAGAGCAATGGCTGTGGACAAGGCCACTAACCCACCCCCACTCAAAGGAACGTCGCATCAGGAGCAGATGGCAGTGGTCCGTGGAGAGGGAAGAGGGCTTCCCCGGGAGACCTGAAAGTGCCCTGTGTCTTCCTCATCTCTGTTCCCGGCCCCCAGAAACGAGTCTGTGCATGGAAAGCCAAGGAAGCCCCCTACCCTCTGCAACTGGGAGGAGGTGGCTCCCCGCGCCCCCAGGAGGAGCATGCCGATGGCAGCTGAGATGCCCACAGGGGAAAAGAAGATGTTGCCATCGTTTGTCTTCTTCAGCTCTTTGAAAAGATCAAACCCAAACCGAGTGCTTGCTGCGCCGAGCGAATCCATGATGATTTCAGTGCGATCTAGAACAGTGACAACAAGAATCAAAACTGAACATTTCCTCTTCACATTCGTATCTCTCTGTGTCATGGGAACCCTTCCTGCCCCTCTTCCACTTCCTACATTGACCCAGAAAAGAGGGATTTCGCCCCTCAGTGAAAGGTCGCTGCCGCCTGCTTCTCACCCCTGTGCTGACAGGAGACAAAGCAGCTGGAGTCTGGCATCATCCCCTGGCTCTCAGTTCTCATTTCCCCAGAGAGCGGGGTAAGCGCCTTAATGGTTTTACCCTTTCTCCTTCTGTCAGAACTTGCCTGCCTCTGCCTGCCGCCACGTCCTCCTGTGGAAAGCTTCCCCGGGCTGACCCAGCCCTGTCCCGCCCCATGTCCAGCTTGTCCAGCCACTCGGCCTGTGACGAGGCAGGGGCAGGTGTAGGAATCCCCGCCTGCCTCAAATCCAGACAGTGTTCTCCAGTCCAGCCTTCACATCAATAAAGCTGATCGTTCTTTTCTTATCTGATGCTTTCTGTTTCTCAGCTGATTCAAAATCCAGTCCAGAGAGTGGCAGAATTGACCCCAATCCGTAATTGCATTAAAACTAGACTCAGATTGAGTTTTCCCTAAAGGACAATGACATATCTCAAGTCATGGATTATTAGGTGACAGAGAAAGGGTTTTCTTTTTTATACTTTTCCGTATTGTTTTAGGCTTGTACATGAGCTTACATTACTTTTGTTATCTCACAAAAAAATAATTTTTAAAGAGTGATTAATATTTACCAAAGATAAATATGTAGAATAGGTTTTATGTTTTCTTCATTACTAGCTACATTATAACTAGTTAATAAAGGTTTTAAGAAGAGTCCTAGAACAAGAATAAGATTAATGCAAAATAAAATTTTTGAAAGCCCACATACTTGGGCGGTTTTTGCTCTCAGAGGCTCATTCCTGCTAAGACATCTCACATCTGGTGTTAAAGCTTCAGTTTCATTCTCAGGTTTCCTTGCAGGGATTCTTTGCAGGTTAACTCAAAAACAAAATGAATTAACTTACTGTCAAACATGATGAAGAAGATATGTTATCATGGCTGCACAGGCCCCAATTAAATAAAACCACCTCAAGGAAAGTCTGCGCACAATAAAAGTACTGCTTTCAAATCAATAAATATCGGTGTTCTCAAAATACAGAAGTCTTAAATTGGATTCAAAAGAAGAACTTACCTGGCTTTTGGAGAGACGGAGGTAGCCGGGCAAGGATCAAGGAAGCATATGTAAAATGAGCAGTTGAGATCATTAATTTATGGTTCTCTCTCCGCCTCTCCCTAGTCATTATAGTTTGCATTTCCAGTGAAACAACATTGGTTTCTCAATGATGATTTCCCTAATAAAATTAGCACGTGAGGTTTATGACAAGACCAAGGACTTAATTTCCTATTTTTTCATTCATGGTCACAAAGTTATGCACTTGAAGTTGTCAGCAATTTTGTTTAACTATAGCTCAAATAGTATGCACCTTAGACATAGGAAAAATAGAGTTTAAATCCCAAAGTCTCCAAAATCCCTTAGAAATTCTTTTCTTGGAGTCCAAGCATAAAGAGATCAAGATTAACCAGAGAACAAAACAAGATCAAAGCAGAAGCTCAATCCAGGACTAAAGGGTAGGATTAGAATGGCCAGGTCAGTTGAATTATGACCCAAAGGAAACTTCATCTCTAATGATATCAGGGATCCTCTGGCAAAAACTCTTTTGGTTTTCCACTCAGTGGTTTTCCACCTTGGACGCACATTAAAATCTCCCGGGGAGCTGAAGAAACATCTATGTTCAAGCCCCACCCCAGACCAACTGAGTCAGCATCTCGGGGATGGGAACCAGGCATCAGAATTTTTATTACCCCAGGTGACTACAATATCCAGCCAAGGCTGGGAACCACTGGTTAATACCCTGATGAAGATATGAATTAATTGCATACTTTACTCAACACAGATGTGCAGGGTTGTGTCCTGACAAGCCATTCTCTGTAATGAAGTTAGTTTTGCAGTGGCGTTATTTGGGGGTGTCAAATAAGTGCAAATGCAAAGAAGGAAATGAAAGAAAACCATCCTTCTAGAAAAGTACAAGAAAAAGAAGTGAGAAAAGTCTGGGCAGGCAGCTATACACATACATACGTATATACATACACACAACTACTGTTATTCTCAAGAAATCTGTCCATTAATTATGAAATCTCTTATTTTAATTCATTCAATAAACATTTATTGAGTCTACTATGTACTAGACACTGTACTAAAAATCAGTAATTCATAAACACTTAATAACCTCACTGATTTCAGGAAAACAACACTACCAAAAAAAAAAAAAAAACTCAATAGGAAATTATACCTCCAGACTCCAGTTTTTCCAGCCAACCCTGGAACACTTCCACTGGCTCTACTAGTTCATTAAAAAAAAAAAAAAAAAAACAGTGCTTGGATTATTCTCAGCTTTAATCTTCAGTAAAGGGTGTGAAGATTTATCATTGTTGCGATGCAGCAACTCATAGAAGGGCATCTTAGCTCTTCCCTCTGCCTAAGGTAGCACCTGCTTAGAAATACACCCTCTCAGGGTATGGGTCATGTATGTACCAGTCTCAATACTTATAATTTGCTTTTTTAATATTTTTTTATTATAGCTCTTTAAGCAAACTCAAAGCAGTATTTAATTGACTTTGCCTTTTCATAGCCACTGAGAAACATGAAAATTGAGTAAGGTTTAGAAAGAATTAACTCTGAGTTATTGAATTATGAAAGTTATTAGAATCAAAATGGAGACACTTGTGTTAAAATAAAAAACCGACAAATAGAACCTGAGAAGGCCATGAAAGAAGGGGTCTCATACATAAGTAAATAATAACAAAATAACAAGAACTATCACAAAGACTACAAAAACACAAGTTTGCACAAAGGCCATCTCAACCTTATGCACATATGCAACACATGCAAAAAATATTTCTGTGAGGACATCTGTCCAGCAACTTCCTGTTCAACCTCTCACTGGCACCACCCTAGTTATTAACTCTTGTACCCAAGGATAATTTACCTCCCTGAATACGCACATAGTTTTCTGTGGCACATGTATTCCCATAGCAATGCCTATTCCCAAATAAACATCATTTTCTTTTAGACAGCTTCTCTTTGTGTCTGTTATTTAAGTTACAGAGTTAACCTCACATGCCTATAAAATCGAAATGTTAGTTTTTAAAAATGACATCACCCACTTTCCACATGCCCTCTGCTTTTTCCTAAAACCTTTCTTCTAACACCCTGCTTTCACAGGGAAACCTGGCTTTCCCCTGAAGACCACTACATTCCACAAAGTATTCTCTGGGAACAGCATCTCATATTTTGGGATCAGAAAGCAAGGTCTCCATTCCTATTCACCCTCCTACTCTCACTTCCTCTAAGCCTTTCTTCCTTTAATCACCTTCAATGTTCCCCTTTGGAAACTTACACCATTAGGCTGTGTTGCCCTTTCCCCAACCATAGACCCCTCTGGTACTCTGCACATGATTTTCTGTCCACCCTGACTGCTACCACCACTCTGCACATCACCATTCATGCTGGTGGCGTCTCTCACCTCCCTGACCTTCACCTTCCCTCTCCTATCGTAACCCACTCACATGGTCATGCACTGGTTGTTGTCATCGCCAGGAACTAACTGCTCCTGTCGTAAATTGCTGGACACCAAAATACCTCCATCTGGCTAGATCACCATTCTTTTTCTCTCTAAACCTAAGTTTCAATGTCCTTATGACCTACAATGATTATCCCTCTCCTATCGTAACCCACTCACATGGTCATGCACTGGTTGTTGTCATCGCCAGGAACTGCTCCTGTCGTAAATTGCTGGACACCAAAATACCTCCATCTGGCTAGATCACCATTCTTTTTCTCTCTAAACCTAAGTTTCAATGTCCTCATGACCTACAATGATTGGACCCCTCTCTATTCTTTTATCAGTCTCTTCTTTTTAGCATCAAAACTGTCCCAAAGGTAGAAAATATGTTAATGATTAACAACAGTATAAATGATTCCTATATTCACAAATGAAGAGAGGAAATAAGCCCTGAAGCAGAGATGTGATGGGTTCAAACCCTGCCCCATACTCAGTTTTGGTACAACATCTGCATGTCTATTACTGATACTGACTTGTAACATTTTTTTCCACCAAGCATATAATGTTGCAGTGGATGCTGCCATGTCCCAACCAGATTCCTTTTACCAGTCAGTACATCTATCACCCAGATGCCCTTTTCTGGGGTGAATAATTCTCAGCTAAATGGGAGTCACCTGCCAGTAAGCTACAAACCTATCCACCTCCCCATCTGGGGCACACCTCAGCCATGACTCACTGGCATAAGATATGAAAGGACAGCCCCTTTGCATCAGGTAGGACTTATTTTGTAGTGCAATTTCTGCTCCAGACTCCCCCAGAGGAGCAGACTGAAGCCAATTTCTAGCTGACACCACATGATTGATTCACATTTTTCCCTCGCCCTGTCCTCTTTCTCAAAGAAACGCACCCACCCACTCCCCCAAATATTACCTAAACAAAAATCCCTGTCTTTGCATCTGCTTCTAGGGTACATGACTTAAGACAAAAGTGTTTTAATATCTATTCCAAGCCCCTCATTGTTTATGCTTTCCCAAAATTCCTTGGCAATTCTTGCATATATTTTCCTTTAGATAACATTTTTAATCAGTTTATCAAGACCTATGAAAAATCCTCAGGATTTAGATTGGAACTCTCTAGAATCAATACATCAAGTGGAAAAAATTGTCATCTTTACATATCGAGTATGTGCATCTTGCATATCCTTCAATAGAGTTTATAGATAGAAAGAGAGAGAGAGAGAATCAGCTTTCTCTTTGTGATCGAAAACAAAACAAGTATGCCCACTACCACTGCTTCCATTCAAAATTGAACCAAAGATCCTGGCAAGTGCAATAGGGCAATTAATTAATTGATTGATTAG